CATCTAATTTAGCCTAGGAGCTAGGACATGTTTACATGTGAAAATTACTACCACGCTGGCAAGAGTATTATCGATGCCAACGAAGCAGGACAAACAAAACAGACCCTCAACAAGTTCAGGAGGAAGGAACCCATCTACTAGGATTGTAAAGGCCTCAAAAGAGAAACAGAACCTTGAGTCAGGCCTGATGAATGATCCAATTTCAGCAGGCTGGAAACTGCAGGCAGACACACTGGGCTGGCTGGGGAACAAGCGAGCAGGCCAACCTGGACAAATGGAGCCAGTAGGTGGCAGGCAGTGGGAACTCCAGGCTTGTGGAGACCACTTAATAAGCTCCAGAGACCTGTCTCTTTCCACAGCCCCACAGTCATCCCGATTCTACTATGCATGCCCCAGAGCTGCCATTTTTTCTCCACTCTCACCGCCACAAAACAGCCCAAGCTCTGATCCCTTCCTTGTCAAAGATCTCCAAACTCCTCTGTCAGGTTCCCAATCTTGTCCATCTCCAATTCGTGGCACACACCACACTCATTACTCAATACGCGCAGCCCACTCACCCCAAGCCCTACAAACCAGCCAAAGGCTAGCACCACCCACAAAACGCGCATTATTTCCTTCACATTTGCTCTCTGGTCACCTCTGACCCCACCCCTGGATGCCCATCGTCTGAACAGAACATACTCATTCCAGGCTGATGCCTATGCCCATGCTGTTCTTTCATCTGGAAAAAGTCTCCTCATGGTTCCCAGGCATGGCACACGTGGCTGTACAGGTTGCATATACCAGTCTATTTAAATGACACCCCTTCCCAGGGTTGGTCTCGGTGATGGAACCTTTCCATCTTCCCCAACTCACTTTCTCAGAAACAACGTAACTCAAGACATCTAGTGTGCCACTGAGTTCTACATCTTTCAAACAAAAAGCTACAGTATTTAGAACACCAAGAGTGACTTGAACGCGGTACTCACTCAAAAGACGCTTGCAAATTATGATCGGGTATATCAAGAATGGCACGCTGTGGTTAAGAAAGGAGTTTCAGTTCTCGGTAGATTCCCAAATACAGTCAAAAGATCACAGTGATACTTCATAAGGACTAATTTCAGGTTAGGGATGTAGCTCAGCAGCGGAGCACTTCCCTCGCCTACACAAGACCCTTGGTTTGATTCCCCAGCACCACAAAAAATAAGATAAAATAATTGAAAAGAAAGAAAGAAGTCAGTCAAGCAGCAGGGCTGGAGAGACTGTCTCTGTTGAAGGAGGCCAGGGAAGGGCTTCATCAGAAATGTGCAGCATCCTCAGTAGTCAAGCCACCCTTCAGGTTATTACTTGGATTACAGACACTGGTTTTCATATACCTATGCTCATAAAGGGAAGCTTCAAACTGGGCCATTAAGCCAAGAAAAACACGCATTTGCCTGAAATATCTGGGTATCTAGGAAACAGTTCCGACTTGAATAATTATACACATATATGAGGCACATACACACAAATGAAGCATTACTCTTCCCCTTCCTTTACACTCTCCTTTTCCATCTCTGCCTCTTCCCCTTCCCATTTCTCTGTCTCTCCCTGAGATTATTATTCATCTTCCACTGCCTTCCAAATGTTTTACATTAATAATTTCCAGGTTGTCTTCTACTTCTCACAAAACTCCCTTCCTCAAAAAAAAAAAATGAGTATTCAGGGCCAGGGATTTAGCTCAGTGGTTCTAGAGCCTGCCTCTCAAGAGCAAGGTCCTGAGTTCAATCCCTGGTACAAAAAAAAAAAAAAAAAAAAAAAAAAAAAAAAAAAAAAAAAAAAAAAAAAAAAAAAAAAAAAAAAAAAAAAAAAAAAAAAAAAAAAAAAAAAAAAAAAAAAAAAAAAAAAAAAAAAAAAAAAAAAAAAAAAAAAAAAAAAAAAAAAAAAAAAAAAAAAAAAAAAAAAAAAAAAAAAAAAAAAAAAAAAAAAAAAAAAAAAAAAAAAAAAAAAAAAAAAAAAAAAAAAAAAAAAAAAAAAAAAAAAAAAAAAAAAAAAAAAAAAAAAATTTCATCTGTTTTTGCTTATATATTGTTTTAGCCAATTCCCTCAATATCTGTTCTAATACCTGAATTCTCCCATTTCTTTTGCTGATACAGCTCAAACCTTCACTAACCTTGTAACTTTAGGGTTACTAGTGAATCATTTCAAGGCCAGTCACTTATGGCTCATTTTCCAGTGACCCTCTTAAAAAATAAAAATCAAGGGCACTTATGTGTTTAGGTATCTAAGTTAATTTCATTGTATTGTTGGAGGACCAAGCAATTCTTATCTGCAAATTGAAAACAGAACCTAATAGGCTAAACAAAATTAGTTTCCTAATTTATTTCTTTTCAAAGCATGCATCTTGAATTTCACGCCAAGATGGCATATCAGTAATAGACTCTGTGGTACTAGACAATTTTATTTACTTCTTAGATTTATATAGAAATCTCTACTCCCCGCAGGAAGAATATTTTGTAGAAGTCACTGCAATATCAAGAAATGGAACCATTGCTAACATACCTACCAGGAAAAGATTACAAGGCATAACCTTGAATTTAAAAAGTGAATGGAGAATAAAATAAAACAAAGTGAATGGAGGGGAAACCTTAAAACAGTTAACAAAGGTAAAAACAGAATACACAATTTGGTTTTTGTGACCAAAATGGCTGTCTCTCTTGAAAGTCCAACTTTAGTCTGCTTATTCCTCCCACCAAATATGCAAAATAAATTCACTTGTACTAAAAACAGAAACGTGTTATCATCATTAAGAGTTAAGCATGATCTTAGGAAGATTAAAATATTTTTCTCCTATCTTAGTAAAAGGGAAAGAAAAAACAAACTACCCAAATACTGTTTCTGGATTTAGGGTGGTTTTCACTTTCTTCTCTCAAGAAAATGTTTCGTTTTGCTGTCTCTCCCTCCCTCCCCACCCCCATACGGGAAGACTTGGGAAGACCCTTTGAAAGTGGAACAGTCAGTGTGGATTTCTGGTACCAAAAGGTGAACAGGAGCTTTGCTAACTACATCCTTTGGGGACCAGGGGGAAGCTGGGACAAACAGGAAGAGGCATCCACTGTCTAGCCTCCTCTTGCGGGACGTGCACGCCTGTGATCCCAGCACTAGGGAAACCGAGGCAGGAGGCTAGCCCTGAGTTCGAGGCCAGCTTGGGCTACATGAGTTCAAGGCCAGCCTGCGCTGTATAGTGAAACACTATCTCCAGAAAAGCCTCCTTTATAATATAGGAAACCCATCACAGCACACATTATGCTGGGGGCAGCGTGTACAGAATGTGTGGGCAGGCAATGAGCAGTGGACCACATTCTACCAGAATAAGACATCATCTATCCAAACACCACAAGAAAGTGGCAAACATTTCAAACTGCTCTCGGCTCAAGGTTAAATGATTGCATGCTAAGAGAATAAAAGTTTAGAGAAATCCTGTTAGGAGGGTGCTATTAGCTCAGAAGTAAACCACAAAGATGGGAGAGGGCTGTGTATGTCACGTCCAGGCAACCCCTCCCCTGGCCGGGGATTTCTCCCTCAGGATGCACATCCAAGGGGTGGGCCAGACCCAGGAAAATAAACAGGGGCAGAAGAGGGGGCCGGCGTCCCTTTGGCAGTAGACAGGACGGAGACGGGACGCACGCACGGACTGGACTGGTCTGGACGGGACTGGACGGAAAGACAGGCAGAGAAGCGTTGCGTCCTACCCGGAGGGCTCCCTCCCAGGACCGGCGGAGTACCTGCTCCGGTCATCCAGGCTGCGGTTGTCTGCGGCCGCCGTGCGCCAGTCGGGCAGCGTGCTGGCGCACAGCACCACCATGGACACGATCACGAACACCACCGACACGCTGGCCAGGATCTGCGCGGCCAGCGACGACGTGGGCTCCTCGAAGGTCCGCCGCATGCGCTCCAGCCAGCGGCGG